CTGTTTCGTAGTAGGCGGAAGGACACTAGGTTGCATAGCAGGTCTGGGCAAATTGCCACGTCCGTGAGGGTGACCTTGGTTGTCCTGGCTCCACTCCTCAGGAGTAGATCAATTGATCCATATCCTCTAACCAGCACCTTAGAATTCCCAGCCCATATGAAGTCTCTGGGCGATGGCTGTCGGAACCCATAGACGCGGTCGGGGTCGTTGGTGATATGACAGGTAGAACCTGAGTCAAGTATAAACGACTTCCGCAGTGGATAGTCAGCAGCGTCCTGTTGGTTCGCTGCGCTGAGCGCTGCTTTGACGTCAGCAATTTCTCAGCCTTCTAGTCAATTGTCTAGGATTTCTAGGGTAGGGGTGTGCGAGTGCTTCACCACTGGTGTTCTTAATCTACTCTTGCTTTGTGCGCGAAGTAGCCCTTAAAAGGTGACATCTTTCTTACACTTAAACTTAATAAGTTCAGAAATAATCTCATTTGGTTTCCACCACTCAGGAGCTCTGTCTTGATTAACATAGTAGCAATCCCGTATGGAGTGGCGTTGTCCACATGCAGGGCATTTTGCTCCCCTAGTGGGAGCAGGCTCTTAATCTGAAGGCCGCTTGAGCGTGGTGGTTTTCCTACCCCCTGTACGTTGATATCGAGGTCTGCCCCGGTTGGATGGCGCGCTTACAGCATGTTGGGCGTCCCCTTCATGGCTCTGGGAGGCTGCACCCCCTTCAGCAAGAAACACTGCATCGTCAGCCACAAAGGCCTTGTGCCGCCCTAATCTAAGGGGATGATTTATCATCATGTGCTCTCAGTAGCGTTTCATCATCTCCTTCCGACTCATACTGGATTCAAAGCGTCCACTATCTTGAAAGCTTGTAGCTCACATAGGCGCGACCCTGTTCACAGCTGTCAGGAAGTCCTTTGTTATCACATTTAATTGCGATAATTCGGCGACTTTGTACGTCTCCGCTTCTGTAGCTGCCTGGTCATACTCAGCTAGCCAGGTATCCCATTGTGACGTGCTTCTTATTGGCTTGAGTGCTGAGAGGTATCTGTCTCAGGCTTGTTCTTGTTTAATTTGTTCGTCGACCCCAACAGTGAGTTGTAGGTCTGTGATCCACTGTCGCAGTGGTTTCTCAGGAAGACAGCATGTGCGCAGTAGATGTGGCGACACAGTTGACTGGATGAACACAATAATGTGCTGAAGGCTTGCTTCCTCCTTCTCATATTCGTGTTAATTGTTCTTGTATTGTTCAAGGAGTACTTTGTAATACTCAAGGTCTTCCTTAAATGCCTTCTAGCCTGTTGTTGATAGCTCAGTTGGCCTTAATAGTATGTCGGTGTTCGCGGCTGGCGCGTAGTTGGTAATGGTTGGAGCCCTCGGCGAGAGTGGCTTTGATAGTAGTGGTGTAGTTGTCTTTGGGTTGATCTTGTCCCAGATGTTGCGCGACAGGCATCTCGCCTGTAGCTGCGCGAGCCAGCCAGTCCAGTCGGCTTGGTCCCTGAGGACTGTCGTTGGGTCGCGGTACGCTGGTTGCGCCATTTCGATTGCGGCAGTGAGGTTGCGGCAGTTCGGTTGCGGCAGTGAGACTGCAGCAGTGAGGTTGCGGCAGTGAGACTCTTAATTGTCAGATGCTCGTACTGTGAGCCAGAGTATGTGCTTAACGAGATCTTAGGTGGTATAATGATATATTGATGATCGTGGCGATGGTGTTTTTCTGCCGTGGCGTCGTGCTGGTTGCTACAGGATTGAAGTGGGGGGGGAATTAGCGCTGTTCGCGGCCGCCGGTGTGCGGGCCAATCAGGAGTTGCCAGGTCTCGCTTAATCGACCTGGCAACTGCTGATTGGCTGCACGACAGGTCCCTGCTCGATTG